ATGATTAAAAAAAAAAATTGAATAACTGTGGCTGTTTGTGAAATGCTCCCCCTGTTGATGGTGTGTTTGCTGATATAAGGCTATTTTGATTGTCAGACTTGGCGTCATATATGCCAACAGGTGTTACGAGATCTGTGGCTCTCTTGCTGTGCAGCTTTTGGAACTGCCCACTTCCCTGTAAACCAATACTGCTGAATGTATATTTGCATATCATTCTATCCTTTGTTGAAACAGACTTTTTTTTTAATCCACCATCTTGGTGATGAATAGGACAAGAGTATAAAAACCCCAAATATAGAATAGTTTAGTGCCAGCTATAACCACAGAAATGGGTCTTGGTGGGATTTTGTATGCTGGGCAAGAGTTTGTGTTGTGTTCTATGCATATGCCAGTAGGTGGCAGTAATAGTTCTGGAATGCGATGTTGCTAGGAAATGGGGTAGAGGATAGGGGAGAAATGTGACCACGACAGACGTTGTCACTGTTACGCAGTCTTCAATATAGCTAGTTAACTGTGTTCAAGTCGTGTTATTACTGTTCTGCTCGATACAACAAAATTGGCAACGAGGTCGTTACCCACTAGTGAGAGATGATGGGTGCTGTGACTCCATTTCCAAGTCCATTTTTGCTATTTCCTGGCGAGCCAACCCTGCCTTTCAACAGATGACTGAAAATGTTCCAGAACTACTTGGTGGTTATTGTGACGTCTCCGGAGGAATGGCCCGATGTTTGGAAACGTGTACTCCTTCCACATTGCCTAGGGACCGAAGGTCAGAGACTCTTTTATACCTTGCCAGATGAATTGTTGGCAATTGTTCCAGTCTTCAGGTAAAACTAATGCTTCCTCTGCTGCACCACTCCAACCCATGCAGATTCCTGTAGAGCCATGGGACATGCTAGGTATCGATGTGGTTGGCCCATTCGGAACTGCGGCTTGAGATTGATGGTTTGCCCTGACACTTACAGCAAGTGGCCTGAGGTAGCATTCATGGCCTCTGTTACCGCTGGGAATGTAATTATTCTTAACATCAGTCTTTAGTAGATTCGGTAACCCCCGTGCAATAGTGTCTGATAATGGTCTTCAGGTTTTGTCTGCGGAATGCGCCACGTTCCTGAAGGACCATGACATACAGCACATACGTACCTCAGTGTATCGCCTGGCAAACGGAGCTGTAGAACGTTTTCACCGTGTCCTAAAGTCTTGCATCCAGTCCGCCATTTTGCATGGGAAGCTTCTTAACGTCCTTTCCCCACCGTTGTCCAGCAAAGACTCTGGTGCACTTTGTTGCAGAGTGTTTCAGAAGCCTACCCAGGTCCCCAAGGTGAATTCATGATTCATGGGGTGTCAAATGAAAGACATGGAAAAGAAACAGAACTAGTTATGCTGTCCTATAAACAGGTGCTTTTTTCTCCTCCCAGTTTAAATCTGTCCCACTAGAAGACTATATCAAAACCGAATCATGTTAACCCTGATTACATTAAAGACCATCCTTCCTTTGGAGATACACACCTACGAACAGTACTATAGTGCTAAGGGTAAATAGTATACAGCAAATGACTCAGCACAAGCCATAAAACCCTGAAGGACAACTAACTACAAAATGTGGTCGAGACTAATATCCGTGACATTCCATCCTCGATAACATTGGGCTTCTAAAAACTAAGCATAGTAAAAGTCTGAATATTAAAAGAGCAAAATGATTTGATTTCTTCTATCCCAAGTTGTGATTTAAATGGAATAAGGCCACCAGGGGCCACTAGGGGCGCTCTCATCTTCTCTCAACCAATTCAGTTGGTTTAATTAAACATGAGAAAAAGTAGCTAGATTAACTCAACTAAGTTCTGTTTTTAGAACACAAGGTGAATGTATCAACTTAAATAGTTTCATTTTCAGAATATTCATTCTAGCTGTGTGGAATCACTGCCCATGATTCAGCTGAAGTCATTCAAAGTAACTTTTTTCAGTAAAAAAAAACCACATGGTATCCCAGTGAAAGATGCCATTTGATATTTAGGTATTAAAATTTGCCAAAAAGAAAAGTTACATTTCAACACCATAATAGATTGAAAAAAAAGAAATATGATTATTATGATAGGTCACGTATTGCTATCAGAAACTGAAGGTCTATCAAGATTAATCTACTCTGTGTCACGCTCGGAGAGGCAGAAAAGACAGGATCCAGAAATGCGGGGAAAAACGTGCTTTACTACACGCAGCGGAGGACAAGCACGGGGAGCTGTCAGCTCTACAAGGGAAGGGGGGATGAGGTCCGCTCCCCGGGGAGCCCAGGGGGAGGCGACCGGGCAGACGAGTCCAATAACGGCGAGCCGGGAGAGTAGTCGAGGTCCAGAAGCTAGAGTCGAAATCCGATGGGTCAGTCCGATACACGTACACGGGACGGGGGAACAGGAGGGCTGGTCAACAAGGGAAGCCGGGCTCAGCAAGACGGAAGGTTCAAGGACGGGAGCTGGGCTGAGGAGGTAAGGAACAGGAGTTAAGGGTTTAACACGAGGAGAACAGGCAGGTAGCGGGAACAAAGGGAGACGGAAGACAGATAAGTGCTTGGTATGGCCGATCATGAGCTCAATACTTCGCAAGTGACCAGCGATCGGTTTTGCCCTTAAGTATTGTGGTTAATTGGTCTTTGGGTGACTGCCCCCTGCTGGGTCCGCCCCTGTGGGCGTGACACTCTGCATGGGTATTGGATGTCCCAAGATCAACAATGTTTATGAGCTATTTAATTTTGTTTTTGGAGGAGCAGGCATCATTATTTCAATACAAAAGTACTACGTAACTCTGCTGAAAGGGGATTGCATCTGACTGACTTTGGGCTGTCCAATATTATTTTAAAAATTAATATACAAATATAAAATAAAGTATACAAAAGACAAAATGTATTTTTTGTTCCAAACCTTATTTTTCATGAACTTGGGGAAATAAAATATATTCTTAAATGTAATTATGCCAGTCAAGCTAATTTCCATAAACAAGCATTATTGTCCGGGCTTATGATTTATGAACTTTTCTCTGCACAAATGTTTGATATGGAATAATAAGTATGTTAGACATAGAAGTAAACTTATGTTATGATAATTAGGTTAAAAATAATATTTTGTTTGTAATACAGTTAATTAACGATAAAGGAGATTTATATACATACCCAGAGTTTTTAAATAAATGTGGAGCTTTTGTGTCTCTAATGAATAAACAGGACATTATGTTTTATCATGCAGTGATATTGAAGGCGAAAGAAAATTAATGTTGAATCTCCTTTTCTGTACAGGAAATATTTTATTCATGAATGATCTAAGAAAATCCCAGAAATATAACATTTCAAAATACTGATGCTAATTGTAGGAGTGATTTGGTTATGACTACTGCTGGGTTGCGGCTGGAAGAGGTGTTGTTGTGGCCAACAGGTTAGCCGAGCCTGTGGTCTGTGTGAATCCCAGGGCAGTGATGCTGTAAAAATGGTGCCGTCCTTTGGATGAGACATAAAACCGAGGCTCTGACTGTGAGGTCATAAAAGATCCCTGGGAATCCTTTGAAAGAGTAGTAGGGGTGGTACCCTGATGTCCTGCCTAAAACTGCCCATTGTGGCCCTATCAGATCTGGGCTCCTAATAATCCCCTATATCTAATGTATTGTCTCCTGCCCCTTCACCACTTTAGCTACTGTGTGGTGAGAGTACTGGTGCAGAATTGCTGCCAGTGGTGGGTGATAGACAGTGGTGGTGGTTGAAGTGGCTCCCCATTGCTTCTGTAAAGCGCTTTGGGTGTTTTGAAAAATGCTGCATAAATGTAACTTTCATTCATTGATTCATAGTGCTAGAGAGCTCAACCCTCCTATGTAATTTAAATCAGTAGTTTGGAAACATTTTGAATTCCTAATAAATTACTCCAGCACTGAACAGAGAGAGAGCTTGTAAAATCAAGACTGGCTGCAGGCTTTGCTATACCGAATTTGAATATATTGCTTGAAACCGATACAACATGCTAATTCATTTGAGACTGCATCATCCGAGTGTGTGTACGACCAGAGCAAGGCAGACACAGCCTCTGCAAGTTAGTCTCTTCATGGCATCTAAAGTGCTTTTTCCAAGAAAACCAGATGGGGCTAAAAAATTAACTATGGCTATAGGGGTGTTTATTGCTACAGATATGCGACCATACTCAATAGAAGAGAACACAGGGTTTAAGCAGGATTTAGTTTATTATAATATCAAATTTTTGATTGATTGATTGATCTATCTAATACATTGTTTCCATGTTCAAATAAATATCTCTTATGTTCTGTTTTACAGACACGTTGCCTTATGGTGTTTGCAGATTTAATAATGAATAATCTCAAAATAAATTCTATTTTCCTTTCTCTGCCAAAATGGCACTGAACCATGGTTTTTGTGTATCATTGCACCCTTAGGATACAGTAATTGCAGATACTGTAGGTGTTGACCACAACCTCACCATATCAGATCCAGTCCAGAGAGAGGCTGAGGGTTTTGGGAAATGACCCAGTATGTTACGGCCTCAGCTGCAGGTCCGGTCTCACACCAGCCGGGCCTGAGTCTTTGCTGGGTTGGCTGTTAATTCTGTGTTTGTGCTGCTTTTCATTCTGTCCTGTCACTCAGCAAAGCATAACTGCAGCACACAGCAATGTAACATGATCTGTTCATTTTTAATATCTATAGCTTATAGTGGTTTATTAGCTTCTAAGAACAGATTTTTCTACTAGTCAATGATCAAAGACTTAATCAGGTTATAATGTATATTTGTCAGTGTTAGTTAGCCAAGGTAATCTACTAAACTGGAGGGGTTTTCTTTAACCTGTATGACTGACACTGCAGATGGTCACAGTGTTATTTTATCATTGTTTAAATGTTAGAGCGCCTGACCCTGAGGATGCAGACTGCAGACGGCCGGGCTGAGTTTGTATTTTTATTAACGTCCTTCATACGTGTGAATCCTGACCTCTTTCATCTCGATCTTCTCTAACTGCAGGATGATGTTCAAGCTTCTGCTGCTTCTGTGCCTTGGTCACTGTCTCTGTGATGTTTCAAAGGGAACCTTAGGTGAGTAAGAGCCTCACACTGAACCTGTGTGAAATTAGCTGTATATGTCAGTGCTTCTCTACTTTGATAATTATATGTCAGCTGCTTGTTTACTCTTACAGCTGTATGATGTTATTTAAGATAAAGTCAAGCTGTGATATGTGATTAGTAGAGAGTCACATGTACAGTAAATGGACCAATCAGTGCGGAAACTGAAGCTTAAAGTTATTAATATAATAACCTTATAATGACTTTACCCTGTCTGTTAATCAGATATTGATGCTAATATCGGAGACACTGTCACACTGCCCTGTGATGGACCAGCAGATACAGACACAAAGGAGGTTGATGTTCTGTGGCAGTTCGGAGGCAAACCTGTCTGCTGGTTTAAAAATGGCAGCTGGTGTGAAACTGGTCATTATGTGAACCGAACTCGACTTGGATCCATCCAACAGAACAACTTCTCTCTGGTCATTTATCCTGTGAAAGAAGAGGATAGAGGGGAGTATAAGTGTCTAGTCAGTGATGAGGTTCAGCAGCGGATTCGCCTTAATGTTACAGGTAAGTGACCCTTCTGCCGATTCCCCTTCCCCCTTAAACCCCCCGAGACCCGTCTCTGTGGGGCAGAGCCTCCTACGAGCCTCAGTCTGCCCCCCGACTCGCATGAACAGAACCGTGACCCAGAAGCTGAGAGCAGTAGGGACTCTCTGCAGGCCGCCTTTATCCCCCGGCCCCCAGCTCTCTGCTGCTACCCTGCATCTCACACTCACTGCCTGAGCTCTGAGTTACAGGCTCAAGCTGACTCTGCTACTTCTATCATGTTCTATGAGAACGTGCTTTATTTGTAGTGCTTTTCCTCCCCCTACTGGTGTTTCAGAGTAATTTGGTATTTTTTGGCTAATTTCAGCTATTGTTCGGATAGGCTTATTTAGTCGCATGACATTGCTGGGTCATAGTTCAGAGAGTTTGATCAGGAATTTTTCTTTGTTTTAACGGGCCATGCGTTTAGCCAGTAGCTCCTGCTTCATATCTTTCTTCTTGCTGGTTGTGCCTTGGAAAGTGATCGCTTGTGAGTCGAATTCATATACAGACGCTCCTCTACTTCCGAAATTTCAACTTACGAACTTTCAGGCATACGAACGAAGAGGACAGTAAGTCCAAATTATGTTCATTGGGCTCCCGTTTCCTGTCCACAACATCAATTTTTTTTTTCTGCGCACCAATTCCACCTAGTACGACTTCTGGCCGCTACTCCTGCCGTGATACTCGCAGCATCTTAGTTGTTTGTACTTGCGTATACCCTAAAAATGATGTTGAATAACGACTTACGAAAACTTCAAATTATGAACGGCCGTTCGGAACGTATATCATTCGTAAGTAGAGGAGTGTCTGTATATAACACAGGTCTACAAAAAAAAAATTCAGGTGCCAAGGTTTTTTGAATGGATTTAGGGTATTTTGAGGGTGCTAAATTAATAAATCACATTACTTTTGCTGAATTCTAGTTTTTGAGATACTGGGCATCCATGGAAATAATGCATTCCCGCAATGTGACGTGTGTGATAACAAATGCAATAGCTTCACATTCACATGTGTATGTTTGCATGTTCATTAATTGCTGTTGTTACTGTGGTGGTGAATATTTACCCAGATCAAATCTGCCAAGTCCTTCCAAAGGAAGGGCATCATGGGAACACCTGTCTGGTATTTAGCCAGAAATGGTTGACATGCTCGTGATAGGGCCATGAAAAAATGTAGTTTGGCCAGAAGAAGGGGATTCTTTTGGGTTTCACAAATGCAGTCAAAAGAAGATGTCCCTGGGTTTTTCACTTATTTTGACTTTACCAAGTCCACATATTTCACAATAGAGGGCCAGACTTCCAAGGCTCGTTCAACAGCTGGCAAATTTTCGAGTCACTGATGGCCACAGAAAGGTAGAGGGAATCTTGAGGATGATGTTCCAGCTGTGAAGTCCTCTCTTCTGGCTGGTGCAGAGTGGAAAAGAAAATGTAGTGCTTTCTCCACCATCCACACTTCAAAACCAGTCTTGAATGAGTTGTGAAGGGTATGTAGGCCACAATTTCCTACAAGCACTAACTGTGTCCCAGCAAATTGCTCACCACAGTGTGAATGTCACTTGTGTTTCTCTCCCCTGATATGTGAGTTGATGGCTTTAGAGCCCATTGTTGCCAGTTTGATGACTTTTTTACAAATGTCGCATCGCGCTTCATAGACATTAGTCGTCTTTTTCAACCAGCCACAGTACTTTTTTTTTTGAAGCACTGACATTAATAACAATTAATAACTAATTAATATTGCATTGTTTAATCAAATCATACATAACTTTTTCCTGTCACTGTTAGATATTTAACATTTCTTTTTTGTATGATGTTAGACTGTTTACTTAGTAGTTGTAACTAAAATGAAAATATTCTTGCAATTCTGAATGCTTTTCAAATGTATTGTGTTAATTAATTAACTATTAAATATGTCAGAAACTAGAGCCAAGCTGGCAAAACCGAAGTCATATTCTTAATCAGCACCATAAACTTAATATAAAACCGTTCAGACATCGTTGGCACCAAAATCACTGTATACCAGTGTATTCGATTCTACTATTACGCAGCGGTTCATAAAACGTGCTTGGTGTGTTATATTAAAATACTTTGTTTATTTACACAGAAATGTTGCTGATGTTAATCGACATCTGTTTACATTAGCTACAAGTTATTTACAGTTATTTATACTACCTTTGAGTATAATATTAGTACGTTTATAATTTCATAGCTATTATTTACATTATCGTATATATGTTTTCTAAATAGCAATCAGTAATTAGTCCTATGTTTTTTCTGAATTTCAGTTTTGCAAATTGTTCATGAAAATGAAGACAACAGTAAAGATCATTCAACTTTACTCTAGCTTCTGACTTTCTCTGAAGCTTGTTCGCTACAGTATCTGTCGATTTGTGTACAGACACACACATTGAGGACAGAATAACTTCTGTCTGCAGGTGGTCAGAAGCGAAGTGATTAAGAGACAGCCCCCAGAGATTTATTTAATACAAACAAGGCTGGTACATGTTCTGCACGTCTGTGCAGGTTTAAAATGGTTTAATGTCCATGACAACAATGTAGCTGCACTGTAAAAAAAAAATCTCGTAAAAAAACGGTAAAATGACCTGCAGCAGCGGCTGCCAAACAAAAACTGTAAAATTACAGTAAAATGTTTTATTTCAAATTAAGTGCAAAAACATTAAATTTACAAAAAATGTCCTTCATTCTTTTGCATAAAAACACTGTTATTTTACAGTTTTTCTTAATATTATTATGATCAAATACCTTAATTAAAAGAGCAATTCCAAAAGTTCAAGAAATAAATACTTTTTCAGCTTTTCTTAAGATTATTATGATCAAATACATTGATTAAAAGGGCAGTTCTACACTGTAAAAAAAATCCATCAAAAAACAGAAAATGTACTGGCAGAAAATTACCAGCACATTTTCCGTTAAGTTAACGGACTCTTCCTTCAAGTCTCAAGGAAAATACTGTAAATTCAGTTTTCTACAATTCCAAGGAATATTTCTTAATAGTTTATTTTAATTTTTAATTTTTTTTACAAGATTTTTTTTTACAGTGTAGGGGAAACACTGAATGCCATATGGATTACACTTAACTACATAGATCAGCCATTGAAATACTCCCTATTTTTCTGTCAAATGCTGTGCCAGCCAGATTCATAATGTTTACTACAATAGCTCCTTGCCTCTCAAAGTGCGGGGCGGGCACCCCTAGTGGGGAAGAGACCAGACAGGTGGGGTGCAACAAACATGAGGAAAGTTGGCTTTTTATGCCAATATTATGTAATACCTTTCTTTAGTGAATTTAAAGAATAGCAACCTATACGTTTTACATAGACACACCCACAATATGCAAAAGATAAGTCATTTAAAAAAAAACATTGGACTTAGAAGTTAAATGTCAAAGTAATGTAAAACTAATAGGATTTACCTCAAAATTACAAAGAAAGATGCTTAATTTTTAGTATGGTCATAAATCTTTCAATTATGAATTACTTTTTTCTTTTAAAAATGTGAAATACGTGTAATTTTTCATTACTGGCGTTATGCGTAAAATAAAGGTTGGTTTATTAATTCAGGGATAATTTCTGTAATTTTACAGAGCTTTGCAGACAACTTTCAAAAAAGAGAAACTACTGTAAAAAATGACGGTTATTTTCTGTAAAATTACAATTTATTTTACAGTGTGTGACGTATGTATGTGACATATCAGTTCCAATGGCACAGTATGCCTGTTTATTAAGTGATATGAATATTCTATACAATTCAATTCAATTCATTTGTATATAGCGCCTTTCACAACAGTTGTCCCAAAGTGCTTTACATGGATGTGTTGTGATACATTAAACAACATTAGAGAGAGTAATACAGAATGGGAAAAAGAGGAAAGAAATTATATAAAGAAAGCCAGATAACAATGGAGGAGAGGAACCAAAAACTGCCAAGTATGGAGGAAAAAAAACTCTGGGGGTCCAAGGTCAACTGGCTGCCCAACCCCCTCTGGGCACTAATATTACTGAGAACAGAAAAGAGTGGACTTGCTTGCTAAAAGGGAGGTATAAGCTGTGATTAAGTATCAAGACAAAGTCCATCAATGAGTCCATTATCCACATTGGCCTGTGAAGGGTGGCATTGAATGCTGCACCCATGATGGTACAGTTCGTATGGCCCATTTGCGATGTCACCCCTCGTTGGGACTGAACCAGGATTCCAGCTCAGATGGTGCCCACCCCGGGCAGCACCCGGACATGTGGGAAGACAGAGAGCATGGATGGTCAGAGCATGTGCTGACACATAAATGGACAAGCATAGTAGATAAAAATGACATGAACAGCAGCACCAAGGATCAAGGTTGCTTTTATTGTCATTTCAGCAATATACGTGGTACAGTACAAAGTGAAATGAAATAACGTTCCCGGGACCATGGTGCTACATAAAAGGACTGGGACAATGCAAAAAAACGTAAATTGCACATATCTAAAGTAAAGTGCTACATAAAAGGACTAGGACAATACAAAAAAAAAGTAAATTGCACGTATGTAAGGTAAAGTGCACGGACAGACATGTGCAAAAACAGCAGGTAAACAAACACGAGACAAGTGCAACAGTGTGTGTGTGTGTCTCAGTCCAGTCTCTGTGTGTTTAGAAGCCTGATGGCTTGCGGGAAGAAGCTGTTGCAGAGTCTGGTAGTGAGGACCCGATTGGTTCGGTACCTCTTACCAGATGGCAGGAGGGTGAAGAGTTTGTGTGAGGGATGTGTGGGGTCATCCACAATGCTGGTGGCTTTGCGGATGCAGTGTGTTTGATGAATGTCGGTTATGGAGGGGAGAGAGACGCCAATGATCTTCTCAGCCGTTCTCACTATCCGTTGTAGGGTCTTGCGGTCTGTTACAGTGCAATTCCCATACCAGACAGTGATACAGCTGCTCAGGATGCTCTCGATCGTCCCCTTGTAGAAAGTGGTGAGGATGGGTGGTGGCA